GCTGCTGTTAGCCGCTGTTAGCGCTGGCCTGTGATTGTATTACCTTTCTCCTTCAGCAGCTCTCTCCACCTGGGAAAGGCAACCCCAATGCTGACCCTTGTTTTTTTAATTCGCCGGTCACGCTGCCTTTTTGATTCCCTTTTGCACTTTCTTGGCGATGAGGATTCCGTCTCCCGTGATGCTGCATAATACATGATCCTGCATCATGCTCAAAGAGTGGGACTTTGTTATGCGGCAGTAGTGCCGCTGGCCACTAACAGCTGTTAGTGGCGCAGTAATGCGAGGAAAGGGATGAGGTGTGTGAGGTTGAGCCACTTGTCAGTTGTCAAAGGACAAGACGTGATTGATTCGTTTCAATGTACACCCGCCCCAACAGTCCTACGTTGTAAACACAGCCAGCATGGTGAGGAGGGGGTTTGTCAACTCGCATCGTGTGTGTCTGTGTGGGAGCCTGAATGAATACTCCATGTAGTATCGGATGACATGGTTTCATCAGTGTTATCATAGCTTTTTGGTACACAGCAGCTACAGTTGTTGCAATACGTGTTTGAAACAGTGAGGCGCTAGAGTGCGCCATCTGTTTGAATACAATATATGATTTCAACGTTAGATGGGAGAAATTCCTACACACTGTGGCTTTAACATTTAGGTTAAACATTTAGTATTTAGATTTAACTGTGACATTATATCTAACATATTTCAAATATTGCTGTAAATATGGTAAAAAGTGACTTTAAAAAATTCACCACTTTGGGGCGTCGGTGGCTTAGTGGATAGAGCAGGCGCCCCATGTAAAAGGCTGTTGCCGCAGCGGCCCGGGTTCAACTCCAGCCTGTGCCCCTTTGCTGCATGTCACTCCCTCTCTCCCGCTTTCACGCTTGTCTGTCCTATCAAATAAAGGCTAAAATGCCGTAAAAAATATCTTAAAAAAACAAACAAAAAAATCACCACTTTCTTAAATGTTGTTTGAAGCTAAATGTGGCAAAATATTGCTGTTAATTTCAGTGCAAGCTCAGCCACTTCACAAACAGCACCCCATACCGCACTGCGGTATTAGGTATGGTTAACAATACCACATGCATTAGCCAATGTGGAAATTACTATGTCTTCATTGCCCAAAATTGCCACCACTATTTCTCTGCATACAGAGATGTATATATTATGTATGTTTATATCTATATACATACATAATATATCTATATGTTTGTGCGTGTGTGTGTAAATATATGTAAATGAAAGCACAGACTGATAAACTTTGAGTATTGGCTGATAGCGAGAACTAATCCAGTGCCAGTGCTTCATTAATAAGCTGTAGGCCTCACTGTGTGGAAGTGACTGGGCAACATCAGGCTTGAATTAAACATTGCTTTTCTAACGTTTTAAAATAAATGTGACAGGTAAATACATGGATATATAACTTAATTGAATTCTATTATTAATAATATAATAAATTGTGCTCCAGCAACTTTGTAAAAAATCTTAAAATTCAAAAATCAACTGCATAAAAGAAAATAATGTGTGTTGCTGACTAGTGATGTCATGGGAACGGATACTCGCGATACCTTTCGATTCCATGATGAAGAAAAACCGGCGATACCCATTTTTTTGAAAAACCAGAAGAACCCATACCAGCGTAAGAATTGGTGCCATGACTCTTCCAGAACTGATGGGGGCAGTATATGCCATATACGTTACAGTCCATGCCTACATTCAGTGCGAGGGGGTGACAAGGAAGTAGAACTACACATGGCATACCTACATGCAAAAAGATGGCAGAAGCAAGTGCTTGAAAGTAAGCTGGTACAGTCTGGTACTGCTGACCACTAAAAGATTCAGTGGCGCGAACTTCCGGTTTGCTGATGGAGTAGTTAGACGCACGGTGAAACCGTGCTTCCAGGTTAATTGCAATTCACCCACCAAATAACTTGAAAACGCGACTTTTATAAGTGAAAGGGGTAGATGAGTGGGAGAAGAAACACTAAAGGCCAAAGAAAAGAAGAAAAAATGCAGAGACCTCAAGATAAAAGTGCCTCGGTGGCGAAAGCTAGCAACACCGAAGCAGAACTAGCTAGCACCAGTAGTGGAGCCGCTGAAGGCCACAGGAGCCCGGGAACGACCATTGACCCTGAAGATGTAATTAAGGCGACAGAGGAGCTAAAAAGTGATCTCAAGGGGGACAATGAACGCCATAGACAAGAAATTAACAACATGGGACAAGAAATCAATGGCAAACTCGACAACCTTACCACGGAGATGCAGTCTGACTGACCGAGTTGTAGAAGCGGAGACCCGTGTGGAACAGGTGGAGGGGTGGGTGGCGTAGGCGACCAAGGTGTTCTGCACCTGTCTGGAGCAGCAAAGGGTCCTGCAGCAGAAATTAACGGACCTTGAGTCGCGGTCCAGAAGAAACAATATACGCATCTTTGGAGTGGCAGAGGGTGAGGAAGGAAACTTGGTACAACAGTTTGTTGAGAAATTCCTGAGAAGCGAGTTGTTACTACCACAGGACTTGGACCTGAAAATACAGTGGGCTCATCGTTCCCTGGCGAACAAACCCCGACCCAAAGCCCCTCCGAGGCCTATAATTATAAACTTCCAGGAGTTCACAACCAAGGAGACAGTACTGAGAGAAGCTTGGAAAAAGGGAAAGCTTGGCACCAAAACTCTCTATTTTGACCACGATGATGCGACTGAGATCGTAAAGAAGCGCAGA